CCATGCTGTTACCATCTGTTCTTAGCCATAGCAGATTTTTAACTTTAGTCGCATTGTTGTACATTAGAGCTCCAGAGCTCATCTTGCATAACTGAAGTGTTGTACCCCTTGACCAACATCTCCCCATGCCCCCTCCCTACAAGCCATAGTTATTTCTGTGTTTATTGCGCTTCTTAACTAGTTTACCTATATGACTCTACGCAACTCTAGTGTGCCCAACCAGAGCCAGTCTTTGCAGACATAAGTTAAATTGCTCTTACTCGCATGTTCAGAATTCTTTAATAGTTTTCTATCATAGAGTAACAGCCAAAGCTAATGTCCCATGAAGGTCCAATATGATCTGGCCCTACTACCTCCCACCAGTTCCCTTCACTCACCTCACTCCAGCCATGCTGCCCTCTTTGCTTGACCTTGAACATGCCAAGCATACTCCCATCTAAGAGTATTTACTTATTATACTTGCTCTTTCTTATGCCAGGAAACCTCTTCCACCAGATACCATATGGCTCCCAGCCTCACTTCCTTCAGGTCTCTGCTCGGATGCCTCCTTTTCAGCGAGGCCTTCACTGACCTCACTAATGAGTCGCTCCTCCTCTACCTTGCTTTCATTTTTTCCGTGTTACCCGCTGCCATCATCTATAGAATGAAACTGTTTATTTTACTATTTGCCTCAATCCATGAAAGGATGAGCTTCATGAAGACAGGAACTTGTATTTTGCTTGCTGCTGTATTTCCTGAGTCTGAAGTGTGGTTGGGTGCACAGTAAACATTTACTACAGGGTGAAGGAATCAGCACTTGAGAGAAGTGGTTAGTCTTTGTGGGATGGACTCATGGTAGAAATGATGGCCTTACTTAGAGAAACAAAGAGTAATAAGCAAGAACACAGGGATAGGGACTGGAGACTTAAAGTTTATGAACTGGGAACTGTGGAAGTATAGTGGAGCCTGCTGAGTGAGGTTTAAATCCTCTCACCCTTTACACTAGCTTTGTGGCATAGGCATGCCACTTCTCAAAATCTCAGTTTCCACATCTATAAAATGGGATAAAGGTCCTCTCTGTCAGGATTGGCTAGAGGATTAAATAAAATAATGCTTATAAAGCACAAAAAGAGTGCCTGATCCATGGTTTGCAATGGTGCTATATGGAGAAGAACATCTGATTATCATATGGATACATGTAGAAACAGTGTGAGCTTGTAAGAACCAGCTAAAGGCCTTGGGTATACCCACTGTCAATGAGAATAGAGAGATCAGATTAAACAAGGCAAAATCTTTAACATTTTACTTTTCTGTACATTCAAAAAAATTGTAGGCTGCTTGAGAATAGGTAATGTGTTTTCTATTTCTTCATATCCCCATAACCTCTAGTTTAGTGCTAGGTATCAAGTAAACGGTTCATAAGTACTTATTTCTCCGTGTGGCTTTTTAACATTTTGTGCTGAGGATTTTTTTTTAACTACTTGTGAGTAATAAGGTATTAGGTTGAATTATCATACACTTGAGTCATCTTTCAGAAAGCTAACTTTAAAATATAGATTATTATAATAATTATTGTAGGAGTAGATTTAAAAAACATGTCCATTTAGCCTTACAACTCAGTACTGAAAATTTATATAAAGCAGCTCTTAACTACTTGTTCCATATGTATTACTAGTGGGCCACGCACTGTGTATGACTGTCACGCACATAGGCCTTTGTTGCATGTGGGAGCTTCTTCCCAGACGGCAGCCTTCTCAGCTGTGTTTCATCCTTGACCCACCAGGAGATGTGCGCGTAAGGAGTCGAGCAGGATTTGAATCAGAAAGAAGAGGTTCTCATCCGTATATTGATTTTCGTATTTTTCACGGTGAGTATTGGCAAACACAATATTTATCTCAGACATTGAGCAAACTTCAGATCTTTATAAAATTACATAATTTTCCAAGGGAAAAAGGAATATAAGAGAAAACTGTATTATGTTTGGAATGTTTTAAAAACACTGGGTGCTGGTAAATGATACTTTATTCCTAGATGATGTTAGTAAAATGTTTAGGGATAATTAAAAGTATGAAAGCTGATGTACTTTTCCTTCTTTTTAATTGAAATGTGAAATTATTTTGGTACATTTTTTTCTTTGAAAAAATTGTTTTTCCTTGATTTTTAAATTTTTTCAATTACAGTTAACATTTAATATTATTTGTATTAGTTTCAAGTGTATAGCATAGTGGTAAGACAGTCATATACTTTACAAAGTGACACTCTCAATATTTACTCTACCTGGCACCGTACATAGTTATTACAGTGTTATTTATTGACTATATTTCCTATGCTGTACTTTACCCTCCTGTGACTGTTTTGTGGCTATCAATTTGTACTTCTTATACCCCTCACTTTTTTCATCCAACCTCCTGACTTCCCTCCCCTCTGGCAACCATCTGTCTGTTCTCTATATTTATGAGTCTATTTCTAAAAATATATTTTCTTTAAAAAATGTTTTGCTCCACATGTTTTGTCTTCACTGCTCCAGATGTTTCTGTGCAAATGATAACATTTTGTAAAGGTATTACATAATTAACAAGGTATGTTCTTTTGGTTTATTTGAAAATACACATCACCTTTAAAATGTTTGGTAAAATGCATATTTTGAAACAGACATTGTGTGGGTCTGGCCCACAATGGAGAAAAGGGATAAAACAAAACTTATAAAACCTTTAAGTATTAAACACATTAAACCTATTTTTGGAGAAGTTCCACTTTTGGTAATGTTGGTTAAATTATTTGGATTAATACTCTAGTTAAGACTATTAGAAAGATTGGCAAAACATAGAAGATGTATTTGAGTATATCAGAATGCTACTAAGGCAGAAACATGAACTCCTTATTCAGGCTCCTTTTCCCCTTAGTAGCATTTGTTGATTCTGAAAAAGGTAGGTAAGCTGAGCAGAGATTTTGGTGGACACTTAAGGGTAGAAAAACAAAAACGAGTGTTTAGAGCTCACCAACACTTGGAGATTGGTTCTGGTAAAACCTCGATGTTTAAATTAGAAACTCTGAAGTAAACCATAGAAATAAATCCCAGCTTTGAAACATATCCAGTGATTAGATTAAGATTATCTGTGGCTTTAATGCCTCTAGTCATCTGCTAGGAGTAAATATTAATCCTCTTAGTCTCAATTTACCTGTACATTTTTCATATGCAATATCAAACACTGACTTAAAAATAAAAAGGCATAATGAGACAAGACAGTGTGACCAAAGTGAAGAGGAAACAACAGACAATAGAAATATCTATATGGAATTATTATACATAGGCTTTAAAATAACTAATTATTGTACATATTGTTCATGGGTTCACGGAGCATCGACCCATGAACAAGAGGTCACCAGATCAATTCCCTGTCAAGCCACATGCCTGTGTTGCCAGCTTGATCCCCAGTAGGGGGCACACAGGAGGCAGCCAATTGATGTTTCTCTCTCTCATTGATGTTTCTGTCTCTCTATCCCTCTCCTTCCTCTCTCTCTAATATCAATAAAAACATTTTTAAAGTAACTAAATGCAATTACATTGATAAAAATAAAGAGACAGGATTGAGAACTGGAAATGATAGAAGAACCAGCTGGAAATTCTGAGACTGAAAAATACCACACCTTAAATGTGAACTAATTTGAGATGGTTTTAACAGCAAATATTACCAAAATGAAGAGATAATTAGTGAATTGGAATATAAGCCAGAAGAAAATACTTAAAATGAAACACAATGAGGCAAAGGGTAGAAAGTGCAGAAAAGATAAGGAATATGTTCCAGTTACATATTGCTCTATACCTGTCAAGAATTTGTGAAGAATCTGGGATTTTACCTTCTAAGCTAACAAGTTTGCCTATTACTGCTTCATGGATGTTGGCAGAAGGCACAAAACTTCTGGGTCAAAGACAAAGGACTTTATTATTCATGACCCAGCAACATGAATATCATATTGTGTCAGTTCCTCCAGTACCCAGCCTCCCCTATATCCTACAGTGGCAACCTGGAGGGGGTTATGTGAATATTTTACCAACAATGAGTCTGCATCACCTCTAAGGAATAATGAGCTTGGGGAATTTACCTTTTATAGTAAGAATACTCTTTGTCCCAGGGAAAGATCTTACTTATCCCTTAAGGATGCTAGCTGCAAACACAGCCCTGAGAAATGGCCCAGGCAATGATTGGTCAGGGCTTGGCATTCTTGGCACATGCAATAAGAAAGAGAACTGACCCTGGGGCCTTTGTGGAGGGTTACCTCTCCCAGTAGTAACAAATGACCCCAAAATGTACTGGCATAAAACAACTTTTTTTTATGATCATGAATCTGAGGGTTAAAAATTCAGTCTGTGTTAGGTTTGTGCTTCATAATGTCTTCATCTTCAGCTGGGGTGGTTCAAACAGCTAGAGATGGCTGTGGTGGCTCCACTAGGTTCATGTGTCTGGGGCCTTGGTCCTTCTCTACATGCTGTCTCCTGGGGCTAGAACATCCACAATGGCTTCTGCGCATTCATATCTGCTACGAGGGCTGGGATGGCTGGAATTTCTGCAGGCCAGGAATTCTCTTTCTGTTAATGACAGTCCAGAGCAGTTAGTCTTGACAGTTGTCTTCCCCCAGAGAAAGCATTCCAAGAGAGAGGAAGTGTGGGAGTTTCTAGTCTTTGCTGGTCTGGGCCTGGGCACTAGTACAACATCATGTTTTTATATTCTCTGGATCAACTTATCACACCACTTTTCATATTCATGCAGAGAGGACATAGACCCTGCTTGTCAATGGAGTATGGTTAAAAAAGTTTCAGTCTTTTATCTCCAATCTGATACAAAATGTACTGAAAGGTGATTAGGGTCCCAGGAAAGGAAGGGGAGAAGATAGCAGAAGCAGTCTTTGGAAGGATAATGCCTGAGAAATCTCTATGGCCTGATAAAAGACATTAAGGTACAGATTCAAGAAGCATTATGAAAAA